TGCATGTGTATCAAAGAAAGTTGGTATGTTACAGATGGCCTGGGAAAACACAGCAATTTGTCAAAGCATTGCATGAATCTGGGTATCGTGTTTCCTCAAATTAGGATTATCTAGACAATATAACGCAGGTTTACTCCCCAAAATACATGGAATGACTGATTAATTTAACTTATACACCCACTGTCCTAATAATTTCCAACTTTACTGACTAATGCTTGTCAATATATCAATTAACTTATCAATAGATTTCACTCATTTGATAGATGACTTATGATTGCATAATTGACAAAATATGAATGAACATTATTTAAAAAAAATCAAGGAAATTACACTGCTGAAATATATTTCATATTGGAATAAGGAAAAAGCTAAATTTTTTTGATCAATTCTATTGAGACACCAAAGGTAGATAACTAAATGCATTTGACAAGTTTGGCCTTGAACATAAAATTAGTTAACTCATAACTCCTTAGCTGCATCCGTTAATTAATTCAATTACTTCATTCACCTGTCAAAGGCCTTACATTCACTATATAGCTAATTCAAATACTAGCTCACAGGTAGCCCCACAGGTTGATTAACTTAAACATGACATAGCTCCGGTGGACCTTGTATTATCTAGCTGACCAATATACTACTTTATAATGATGCAGAGGAACTCCTGTGGTAAGATATTTATCTGGTAAAAAGAAGAAGTATCTGCATGTTAAAATAAATCACGGAAAAGCAAAAAATATAATCCTAGAATAGCATTATAATGATTTGTTGTGGAAAAGCAGGATTTATTTTTGTAGAAAAGCATAATATTGGCATAAATGTAAATCAGTGATGTAGATATGCTGGTACATGTATAATCCATTCATTTGATAACAATAAACCTAGGTATACATATAATCTATCATCCAACAAGTACACCTGAACTTACCTGGTAGTAGTCTGTTGGTATTGCCAAATTAGAAGAGAAAAAAAACTTCACAGGTTATCAAATATGGTAAATTAATGTGTACCAATTCAGTCATGGATGATAAATACACTGGGCATTCAATCCAAGGTTGACCGTCAACTTTGAAGAAGTATGTATTGTCTAGCCAATTGCACAGAACATAACTATTCAAAGAGCTACACTCCTTTCAATATGACCCTCAGAAAAAGAAAGATTTCTATGCTGATGATGTAATATGGAAGAGATCTTTCAGTATGATAAATCTATAAAACACAAAGAAAAACAGTACTGACAAAGGTATTTTGGGATACCTGGTACTTGTACTTGGTTAATATTACTATCAAATACTGACAGTAAATGGGAACTTGATATTTCTGTAATGTGAAAAACTAAAAATATTAAAGACTTAATAATTTACTCACTGGGTAGTGTACATCTAATAATGAAACAGATGTACCACCTTATTGTTTACCAAATAAGATTTACATGCGTTGATTGAAAAAAGAAATGCAAACAAAAGCCCATATTTTACACATCACTACACATTCCCACTTGGTTTTTATGCCTCACTACTAATTGCTTTAAAGCAAATCTAGCCACAGTGAAGAGAAATCTCTGATCTTATACCAATCAATATTAACTCCAAGGCTCTCAGAGCTTTTACAATGAATATTACAACTGTTTCTGAATTGAAATGTCCCAATTTTTACAGTATGTCACTGCATGATCAGTGGAAACAGTGGAAACATGGAAACATGGAAACAGTGCTACTTAATCTGACAGAAGGATGGCAATAAAAAAAAGTATTCTTTTTTATATGATTTATTAAGATCACAGTGACAGACTACAATTAATTTTTACTTTTTAATCACTCAGGCAACAACAAAATAAAGGCACGTATCCAGGAATTTTTTTCCAGAAGGGGGGGGGGGCATCCCAGTCAAAAGAAATTAATTCCTACCCAAAAATACATTAAAAACTCTGCAGATTCCATGGGAGTGGGAGAGGGGGTCCAACCCCCCAACCCCCACCACTCCGACCCTCCTCTAGATCAATGCATGAAATATATGTAAGAATGGATATGTTCAAAGTAACTGTTTGCAACAATAATCAAAAATATATGTATAAATCTGTACAAAGTTTCTTTGATAAGTTAATGCATACAATAATAGTAGGGAAAGATTATACGTGAAATATAATGCAATGAGGATAAAATCATATTTGTATCACAGTTTAACATCAATATATTAATGTTTGACTAAAACTGAAAGATATAGCAGCCTTTCAATTTACTTATGTAAAAATGAGGCTAGCAGATTAATAGCTGGTAAGATGATGGATTTTGTAAATCAGTTTACCGTATATAACAATCAGTGACATTCAAATCAAGAAAATGATTACAATACATTAAAACTAATGAATAACTTGAAACCATATGTCACCATGAACTTATTAGATTTGCCAAGGTCAGCCTGTATGAAATCCACTGTATCACATTACTTGACATGTATATCCTTACCATATACAATGTATCAATAAGGCACCATGGCTACCAATATTATTCCATTCATCCTCCTGTATTTCAATACTGCTGATCTTCATGCAATATTTAAATTCTTGATCACACAAAGGAAAAAAAATCAATCTAAATTATATTCCGCCATGCGACATTGATCCAAAAACACTAGCTTTCTATAATCCTGTGATAAATGAAATCCATCAGATATGCCTTGTCTGGGAAAATCATCACTCATTTTCAGACAAGTGAGCAAGCAGTGCATGCGTAACTCGGTTTTAATTGTTGTACAATGCAGTGAAAACAAACAAATCTGCTGATCACATGGTCTGAGCTCACACAGAAGCAAAGACACACGTCTTTATCATATCGTCAATACTCTCACAGACTCAGATCAATACACATGCAGACTCATTAAAAATTCAGGCTGAAGAACAAGAAATTCTATATAAGGGAGTAATAAGGCAAAGACAGGTGTCTGATGACAAGAAATAGCAATTCTCTTTTGATGCTATGCATCATACATAGGAACAAGTCTTCCCTATAAATCTGTTTTATTTAAAGGAATCTTGAATTCCTGCATGGCCATCAATGTCATCCCATGTATTCCCTGTGATTTAAGAAGCACCTTGTCAGGTAACTTCCTAGTCCAATAAATATCACCTCAGCTTGTCCAGAATAGGACCAGGGGGCAGACATTGCATGACCATCCGAGTGACCACAACTGGACAGCTGAGACACCAATACTAAATGTACTAACCAAGCTGTACTAATCACTGTCCATACTGGACAGCCGAGACACCTATACTGAATGTACTAACCAAGCTGTACTAATATCTGTGGACACTGGACAGCACAGACACCAATACTAAATGTACTAACCAAGCTGTACTAATCATTGTGTATACTGGACAGACAACAATACTAAATGTACTAACCAAGCTGTACTAATCACTGTGTATACCCAGACAGCCCAGACACCAATACTAAATGTACTAACCAAGCTGTACTAATCACTGTGTATATTGAAATTACTTGCTAAATGCCACAGTTCAACACTTTATCATCTTTAGAATCTATAGATCAGATAATTAACAGATCCCTTGCATTCCATGCCTTCATCCAACCATACCCTGATTTTAGGTTTAAAAACCTGTCCCTAACTTTTTTTTATCTATGAAAAGACAAGAATGTCTCTCATCATGAATACACAAACTACCAAAAAACTTACAAACATGCATAAATGATGCATATTTCAATCCCTAAAGATCTGAGGGTATCAAGATAATAACATTCAAATCAAAGAATGTTGTCACTCCTCATGAAGTTACCTTAGATTACCCTGTAATCTCTTTTTTCCTTTTATAAAATCCTATACAAAAATGGAGATGCTACAGACAGGCCCTCTACACCTGGCTTAAGTGTCCATGCTGGGTCGTCACAGTGTAGAGGTCACAGAGATGTCCAAGACAAAGAACACGAACAATGCGTCTCATTTCCTCATCCGTAGGAGGGTTTGTCGAGTTAAGGACTTGTAAGGTCAACATCAAGTATTTTGTTTGTTGGTTGTTTATAGCCAGCTCACTTTAACAACTTCCTGCATCCTTAAACAGCATGTGATACAATTTCATACTTATAATTTGAACAACTTTGTTGTGGTCACCAAAAACTTACAAGATTATATTTAATAGATTGAGATATCATAGGATTAGGATCTTGTGATGTTGTCTCCAGGTAAATAATTCTAGCTGCACACAAATAATCTGTGAAATTATCCAATGTTCATAGTCCCCACACAACAATAATGATACTGTCTCTCTCAACTCACAGATAAAACTTTTGTATCCAACGTTAGCTGTCATGTGAATCAATTATTTACTGTTTTTATGACACCCATTTACACCCGGCTATTATTTGAACTTTAATTTACGACAAGATTCTCAAAGAAAACCTAAGAAGCCATTAAAATTCCTCAAGGAGACACTTACATTGAACTTGTACACTGTTTGTTATTAGTACTGCATTTAGTTTGGACAAATGAGATACCCTTTGTTTATTTCCAGTTACTTACCTTGTAAGAAGTAAGTCCCTGGAATATGAATCCTAGTTTAGAAAACGGTCACTTTTTAAAATAATTTTATTCTACAACAAAAATATTCAGAATGTTTCCACAAGGCAAGTATTTCCTCCAAAATGACACGAATTTGTAACTGAGAAATCCTTTGACCCAGTTTTAATGAAGGAAAATACGTTCTTGTCAAAAATATAATGTTCCTGTAGAGCGTGTCATCACCTCCCAAAGGAGAACCTTCAATGCTTGAATGCACAACAACCTGTAACAAGATATTTAAGTGTAGATATTCCACTAACTGAAAGAAACACAGATTGATGTAGTAATTAAACAATTGCATGGTTAGTTAAAGTTACATTTTGCATTTGTAAAACACCTACGTAAAACCAAAGAATGAAGAACTCCTTAATCTTACCTATATTCTCAGTGAGAATAAAAGACAGTCCGACCCTCCCTCAAAACGTCAAACTGGTTAAAAAGAAACAGGCCTTCTGTTGTGCTGCAATGGTATAGTATAATCAGAAAGGTAAACATTTGACATTCCACGCGGGGGACTTATCACAACTCTGTATTGTCCAGGTAAACGTTACCTGTCCTATCAATGGACATTTATGGTACATATAATGTCTATGTCAGTTAAGCAACTTTGTCACCAGTTCTACCTTTTTTACACAGAATAATCAAGAAGAAAGCAGTGTGAAGTTACTTCTATATACTTTAAAGTAGAACAGACTTGAGTAATGGTGTAGATGCCCCAATGACAGTCAACCTACATGTATTTGCTTTCGCAATTTCCAGTCACAAATACATACCTGTGTTTCTCTGTGATCCTTGACCTCAATAGTGTACATATAGATGAATTCACCATGAAATATAAAATTGATCTTAAAAATCATCTGGTCTTCAAACTGTAAAATTTGAAAATGTGTTGGGGTTATTTTACGGTTTATGCATGATCATTTTTAAATATTTCATGAAAATATCTCCAACTGTTACAGTACTAATGCATTTATAATTCTATCATAAGGTACTTTGACTTAAAGTACTAATTTAATTAGTAGTAAGGAATAAGTCATTGTAACATATAGGCAACACAGTTAACAAGGTTAATAAAATGTTATGTAAATTTTTGATCAAATGAATGAGATATTACATCTTGAATTATTCTTTTTTTTTTTTTATACTTGGCAGAATTTAACTTAATGTGTATACTGGTACATTATACAGCTATCAAAATATTTAATTATTTAGTAGCAACCACTATAATTTTTCTTAGTTCAAATACATGTATCATGGGCAATGCCAAAAATTTTTTTTTGTATGTAATATGTTAGATTTTTTTTAGATCAGTTGATAATATACATGTAGGTAAATCACATTTTCTATATATTATACAGGTAGTAAGTACAGGTGATCTACATTAAGCACACCTTGCCCTGAACAAAGCTTTCAAGAGAGTTAATTATCACAAATTAAACACAACTGCCAGCAATGAAAATTCTTCACATTCATATACAAATTATGATAATTCACTTCAGTTAACTGCTGGGCCCCCATCCATTTTCAAATAAAAAATCAAAACCAATGCTAGTTCCCCTCCTGTCTAAGCCAGTGGTACACGTTAAACAAAAGTGCTCCTTGGAATGCTCATTACAACAAGCGATACTTAGAGTTGTTCTCAACCTCAGATTTGAATTGCTGCCCAAGTTTAATATTTTTAAGTTCTTGGAATAATAATTTAACAAATTAAAAATTATCTCAACAATATTATCGAGTTTCAGTATCAAGATCTGAAGCATGAATTATCTTTTTCTTAATGTTCAAAATGGATTTGCACTAAACATGTATCTCTTGTAAAATTATATTCAAAATTGATATCTTTAATTTCTCAATTATACAGTTGTATATTTTCAAGGACCTCCACTGTAATCTAGCTGCTATCACTCATATACTGAGCAAAATACATCATGCAGAGATTGTAGACTCTTCAGGAAATTTTGTGTACACTTTTACTGATATGCTACCAATACATTCTAAAAACAAAAGTACTAGTATTTTCTCTCCTTAATATCAATATGGAGATATCAATATCCATCAATCAATGCTGCGACTCTTACTAAGAATGTAACCTTTTGAATATACTGTATAGCAAAGATTTCCAGAACCTAATATGTGCCCAGACTAAGTATTCTACTTAGTACAAATAACATTTAAATTTGAGACAGGATGGAATATGGCAGCATTATGTGTAGCATATACTGGTCCAAGATAAATGAGTTAATACATTGTGGCCTTAAATCCTCTGCTGATAATATCAACAGCAGCAAATTTTTAATTTGAACTTTTTGCATCTGCTATACCATTGATTTCTATCAAAAATGTTTTACTTTTCTCAGCCAAAATCTGCACAAGATTTGATGTCAAGCAAGCAAAATTTTTCCAAAATACTGGTTGATTGATTGTTTGCTATTTACATCCCGTTCAAGATTTTTTCACTCAGATTTATGTCACCATATAACCGCTGAAGCACATCAAATTTAGACCTTTGATCATCACTCAGGGCCATTATGAGCTGAGAAAGAACTTTTATTGTGCTAACGATTGTTGTGACACAGGGCCTCAATTGGTTTTATAAGGTCTCCTCCGAAGGACCCCCCAACCATCACTTCTGCTTGGTGAAGGAAAAAGTTGCTACTGTAACATATTGTTTATTGTCTTAGGTCAGTAGCGGTCAGGGATTGAACACATGATCCAGAATACTGGTGGGACAATATCTGGCAGAAATGAAACAGAAAACATGCAGGCTAATGACTTTAAAATCCACTAAGTGACCTTGGACCTTTTGACCTGACAACTGATAGACTGGTAACCTGTGACCTCATGACCTGAAAATTAATAACGGTTAACTATTAAATCATTGCAGTATTTTCTGACTGGAAAACACTGGCACACGGCCATGTCTATTACTAATCATCTAAATAATGAACTGCAAAATATCTGTCCTATTTAATAAAGGTGCTCTGGTGGCGCAGTGGTTAGAGCATCTGCTTTAGAGTCCTGAAGTAAGGAGTCGATCATTAAATTGCAGGTTTGAATCCCACTATGGGACATGGAGACTGGGCCATCGGAGGAGACCGCATAAACCGAGGACCCATGTTGCAGTAGGTGCTGGCACGAAAAAGTTCCC